CATCGGCACTGAAATTGCACTTGGTGATTGTCTCTCTGGAAGATATGGGGGTCCATGCGCCGTATGGGATAACGACACCTGTCGCAGAGTCTGTCGGGAAGAGGGACGCAGAAGTGGCCACTGCAGCCCAAGTCTTAAGTGTTGGTGTGAAGGGTGTTAAGGTCTTTTAACACCGAAAAAACATGTCTAGGTTTAAGCAGGTTGGTCAAGCTAAATTGTGAATTATTCAATGAAATGTTTTATGTATCTATCATATAATATTTACATAGTTACCACTAAACTGTTTTGCTTTTCATGTAGTATTTAGAAAAAGACTATATATTAATAAACAGTTGGAAAAAGTAATGTAAAAGTATATATTTTTTGATGGTATAGTAACCAGATTCATGTTCAAGAAAAATTTTAATTGGATCACAACGCACGTCAACCATAAATACCAAAATAAGTAAACTTTTGCAGGTAACCAATGGTTTTTTATACCTATTTACAAATGAGACCGGTTTCTATCCCTCCCCAATTAATCTGATTATTAAATCATTCAGAAAACTTAAGATTCAAAAAAATTTGTTTCTTTCTTAACGTCTGCTGTGAGTATAAATTCACATGTTTTCCCTAATGACAAAAGTTCTGAAGATGGTCCAAAGCCGAAGAGCCGAAACACAAATAAAAATTGACTAAAAACTATTAGGTTGTCTGTTTTACAAAACCCGTTTATTAAGAAAAACATGTGAATTCAACAAAATTATTAATAACTCAAGAANTCGTTTTCTTTATTGTTACCGGTAAAGCTAGAATGGCCTCCCGTATTCCCCTATTTCTTCTAAACCCAAATTGATCTTCCCCTAATAGTTCTTCCGCCCTTTTCTCCATCCTCCTCTGTACAATTCTAGTTAAGATTTTTGATGCAAGAGAAGAAGTGTAACTTCAAAAATCAAACGTTCATATTTCAAATCAATTCAAAATCAATGCGCTTAAAGCTCTTTTTTTTTGAGGTTTTCTCATAAAATAAGTACTCCTTAAAATACATTGATAAACCAAAAAAAATATTATTTCAATTAAAAGAAACCAAATCAACAATATCTAACGACGTTTTTAAATATTACTTACCCTAACACAATTTGCTTCTGTATGTTGGACTGCTACGACATTTATGCATTTTTAATATTAAATGATATAGGTGGAAGTACACGGTAAGCATAAAAATAACATTTCTATAAATATTTATCCTGAATTATTATACCGGTTAATTAATTCGTAACCGCAACAGTTCAGAGAATAAAATTAACATGAAAAGGAAAAAAAAATGATTCACATATAACATGCATTAATTTTTTCAAACGAAAAACAGTTTGAATTACTTTATTATTGTCAGCGAGTATAAATAATGCATGTCCGATACAAATGTAAACATAGTCATTAATTTTAAGGTTAGCGGTCGACGGTGATAGTCGTGCCCAGCACATATTTTCATTTTGGCATCCCGTCAGTTATTTGTTATTGTGATGCCTGGGATTCCCCTCCGCAAATCAACGAAAAAATCGCAAAAACCCAATGAGGAAATGAAACATGCAATTAGGGAAAACATCCATTTGTAAGATAATGCGAGGTCAATGCTAAACGCTAGTGTTAAACAAATAATAAGTAATTTGAATCAGCAATAAAAAATCTTATGTATTTTTAGTCCAGCGTATCTAAAAATAAGTAGTGAAAATCCAGTGGAACAAATTTCGACATTGTTCAAAGGTTACAATCTACGATAAAAAAAATTATATGTAAAAAAAACATTATTACTAAATCATTTTCGATACAGTGTACGTTATAATTATAAAACAATATTTAACAATAACTAATAAATAGTGATGGGCAAAATTGGTTTTGTTCTTGCATTTTCAGTAAACTACAAGACTAAGACCAAAATTGTCTTTATACTAGCAAAACCAAGACCAATGCCGAACGAACAAGTCCAAGACTAAAGCCAAACGAAAGATCATTTCTTCTAGTGGATTGTCCCAGACTTGGTCTTGATCTTGGTCTTAGTCTTGGTCTTTGTCTTGGTATTGGCCTTGCTTTGCTATCACTTTTAAGAAACGATTGAATAATATTGCCCTGTTTATGAGGATGTAATGGAAATGGTAAAGAATTTACAACCAATAATGTAATAAACCGGAAGCATGTCGTTTTGGGGGTTGAGATAAGTCGATGCACCCTTTCCGTTTATAATGAAAATAAAAACTATCTGTCTGAAATTGGTGTTTTAAATTTTCTCTTTCCAAAGAAAAGGTTAGAAGCGTTCGAAATGTGGTGTTACAGGCGAATGATGAGGATACCTTGGATAGAGAAGGTTAGAAATGAAGAGGTATTAGAAAGAAGAGGAGAACAGACGACTCTGTGGAAGTCAATACAAAATAGTCAAGATAGGTTGGTAGGACACCTTCTCAGGCATGAAGGTCTATCATCATCATAAGGTCGTCAGTCCTAAGACTAGACACGCACCTCCACTCTTTCCTATCCTCAGCTAATCTTCGCATTTCCCTAAAACTAGAACAACCCACATCCTTAACTATTTGTGAACAGTAATCTGATCTAGGTCTACCTGTAGTCCTCCTAACTCATGTTTCTGCGTTCTACTAACCTATCTCGCCTATTTATTATCCACAACATACTCATCATTCATCAATAACACCACATTTCAAACGCTTCTAATTTTTCTTTTCCGTCGTGCCCACCGTCCATGTTTCGCACCCGTATAGCGTCGCAAACATACATCTTTAACAATCTTCTTCAAATTTCTAAATTAACCGTTCGCGAGCTAAGCAGTGACTTGTTTTTATCTTTATATCGCTACTACTCTTTCCGTCCTGAGTTATCTATAGTAACTTCCCACATACCTAAAATCAGTCACTTCTTCTGATTTTTGGTCTCCTATCTAATCAGAGACATATTAGGGGCAGAAATAGGAGTTAAGAGGAGTAGAAATAGGCCTAGATTAGATTACTATTCGCAAGTAGTTAAGGATGTGGGATGTTCAAGTTTTAGGGAAATGCGAATTTTATCTCAGGAGTCCAAGACTGATGATGAAAGTTCTGCCGTTTACCGTAAGCTAGTAATTTTTTTACAGATTTAAAGCCTTTCCAATTAGGAATTAAGATAATAGTTTTCAGTTCTCCTTATAAATATTGACCAAAAATGGTAACTTTAACTCTTTAGTAATTGGAAGATTAATAAATTAAAAAGATTTAATCAACAACTACAGAACCGTACTTTAATATGTAAATAAAAAACGGTTGTGCACAAACATTATATTGTAAACCTACAAATTAAATATACGTATGTTACATAATAACTCAATACAGCTCTTCGATTTTATTGAAGCAGATTACAAAAATGAAAATTTGCCTTCTCTTTGCCCGCCTGCCGCTAAAATTTCAGACTAGTAGCCCTGCAGTGGCCACCAGTACGTCCCTGTTCTTGGTAGATTCTGTAGCAAATTTCGCTCCAGAATGTAGTCGCCATATGTAATTTTAGTGATCACAGCCAGGACGAGTAAAACAGTAAAAATCATTATCATGAACTTCTTCATTATTTATGGATTATTTTGACTAATGTTACACTCTATTTTATTAAAAAACAAGGACTCTTCTTGCTTTGTTGAAAGCACAACTAGTTGCTCTTAAACGTAATGTAGGATAAACATTATAATACACTGTAGATTAGTACACAAGACAGGTGCTTTACATAGGTACGATTATCAACGAAAACAAACAATGAAACTACCTATTATCGTTGTTTTCATATTGTAATTGTAGGTACTCAAGTCGAACTAATATTGTAAATGCGAATGTGAATTTTTTTGTTTATTACACTTTCACGCCTTAACGATTCAACCGATTATCATGAAATTTATCCAGAAAAAAATACTGTTTACGGTGGGATCGAAAAATTTATTTTCATCTCGAGAAAAGACAGTATTTAATGTCATTCTACGCAAATTGTATGTTTAACCTACAGAATTAGAAATTTTAGGACTTAAGAACAAGTTTCCAAATTATTGTATTTTTGATCATTTTTGACACGTATTTAGGACATTAATGCGGGCAGAGTAACGGATAAAAAGGAGGATTCTGGAAATACTAGCTATTGCCTATTCCCGACCAGAATTTATAGGGGGCATGCCCCATGTAGCTTGCGGGTCTCATGTGGCTAATGTGGGGCATGTCGATATAGGGATTTCTCCGTAAATTCCTCATGAAAATCCCACCAAAAAAAGTGGTGATATTAAAATGAGTTTTTCCATACGGGTTTTAAGAAGCAAACCTATCACATGTGTAAACTTATAATTAAATCTACCTTATGGGTGCTCGATGAGGCAAATCCGTTTGAAAATACTCTCGGTAAAACGAAAAACTTATAATAATCCCCTTGCCCAATTATGTCGTCGTTTCAATGAAATCTTTTACATTCGCAACAAACTAACAAGTGTACTTCCTGATATTGTTATTATAAGACCACTGAAACCAGACGCTTCAGGTCGAACAACAGTAAAACGATTGCAATTTAAAGAACTATTGACTACAAAACAGCCCAATAGCAAAATCTTACGTAAGAGCAAACAAATTTTACAAATAAGTGATATGTATATATTCCTCCAAATGGAGATATAAATTGTATTGAAATTTGTGGAAAACTACTACGAAAAAGAAAATCCCTTTATACGTATCCATGCGATGTATGGTCCTTCCTTGCCTTAGGGGGCAACCTCATGGGGTCCATTAGGGGTAGTGGGCTACCCATTTAGGGACCCTACCTATACCTCCCTCAAAATGCTAGTCGGGTAGGACTGAATCGACCGTTTCTTGCAAAGGATTCAATAGTGTATACCTTTGGCTAACAATGGTTAAAAATTTAATTGAAAGATGACGTCTGGACCAATTATTCATCCACATCTCTTATTACAATGGGCTTTTATGATGGCATGTGTCTATTGCGACATACAAAATCATTTAGCTATAATTCTCTATCTTATACATCATATTTAGTGTATTGCAAGTAATTTGAATGTTTTGTTGTCATAACTTTTAGGATTGGTCTACGACACGAGTGCAGGATCTCAAAAATTTTGCAATGTACGTTGACAAGCCTATATAGAAAACTGAAATTCTTATTAGGCTTGTCGTTTAAAATACGGACCACTTTTCTTTCGCGTCCCATAATGCAAAAAAAAGGGGGCTATCGATCGCGAGTACCTACACATATTATAGTTAGGTATCGTAGGTACACGAAAGCATTCACGTCACCGTGTACCACGTTGCGCCTTATATTCATGCACGTTGGGGATAAAAATTAATGTGCAGCGCAACAAAAGATATGTAGCGTAGTCCGTAGCCTCGATAATACCGCAATAAATTATATTATTACCTTGTCTGCCGTGTATAATATAAATTGATTGGAATTTCATACCGTGTTCCACTGCAATTNCATCGGCACTGAAATTGCACTTGGTGATTGTCTCTCTGGAAGATATGGGGGTCCATGCGCCGTATGGGATAACGACACCTGTCGCAGAGTCTGTCGGGAAGAGGGACGCAGAAGTGGCCACTGCAGCCCAAGTCTTAAGTGTTGGTGTGAAGGGTGTTAAGGTCTTTTAACACCGAAAAAACATGTCTAGGTTTAAGCAGGTTGGTCAAGCTAAATTGTGAATTATTCAATGAAATGTTTTATGTATCTATCATATAATATTTACATAGTTACCACTAAACTGTTTTGCTTTTCATGTAGTATTTAGAAAAAGACTATATATTAATAAACAGTTGGAAAAAGTAATGTAAAAGTATATATTTTTTGATGGTATAATAACCAGCATTCATGTTCAAGAAAAATTTTAATTGGATCACAACGCACGTCAACCATAAATACCAAAATAAGTAAACTTTTGCAGGTAACAAATGGTTTTTTATACCTATTTACAAATGAGACCGGTTTCTATCCCTCCCCAATTAATCTGATTATTAAATCATTCAGAAAACTTAAGATTCAAAAAAATTTGTTTCTTTCTTAACGTCTGCTGTGAGTATAAATTCACATGTTTTCCCTAATGACAAAAGTTCTGAAGATGGTCCAAAGCCGAAGAGCCGAAACACAAATAAAAATTGACTAAAAACTATTAGGTTGTCTGTTTTACAAAACCCGTTTATTAAGAAAAACATGTGAATTCAACAAAATTATTAATAACTCAAGAACCAATATAAATACAAAATGGAAAAAAACTCTTCCATTTATTAGTCTACAAAAACAATAAATTACGTAACATTTTTTGATCGTGATCATAAAGTCTTCAGCCTCTACTCCTCTTAACTCCTGTTTTTGCTTCTAATCTCTATCATCACCACAAAATCATCAGTATTAAGACTAGTTGAACTATCTCTATTCTCCGCATTTCGTTACAACTAGAGTAGCCCACATCCTTAAGTACTTTTGAGCAGTAATCTAATCTAGGTCTACTTATTCATTTTAACTCTCATTTCTGCCTCTAGTATGTCTCTGATTAGACCTTCATGTCTGAGAAGATATCCTACTAACCTTTCCCTTTCTGCTTCTGATTTGTCTCCAACTAGCCCTTCACTTCTGAATGGTGTCTTACCTTCATATATCTCTAATTATTATTTAATTTCTTATTGGCCCTGTTCCCTTACTCTTTTTAACACCACCTCATTTCTAACCATTCACGGTATTTTTAACATTTTACTATAATACCCCATTGGTAACATTTAACACCGACACAGAGCCGTACCCAATCTTTAACCTTAAATAATCCTTTCCGGATCTCCGAAATAACCTCTCACGTTAAAATAATAGCTATAAATCGTACAATATTTAAGTCAAAATTTCTCATAAAAATTCAGAAATTAAATTGTTTTGGTTAACTTTTATTTCTAAAAATTATATCATTAAAAATCCTGGAACTCAGAATATATCTCCTACTGCGTATTGTTAAGAAATTTACAATATTTAAAAATTGCCAAATCTATATTGCAATAGTCATCATCATAGGGTCGTCCGTCCTATGACTAGTTGGACACGTACCTCCACTCTTTCCTATCTTGAGCTAATCTTCGCATTTCCCTAAAACTAGAACATTCCACATCCTTAACTATTTGCAAACAATAATCTAATCTAGGTCTGCCTCTACCCCTCCTAACTGCGATTTCTACCTCTAATATGACTGACTAGACCTTCATGCCTGAAAAAGGTGTCCAACCTATCTCGCCTATTTCTTATTGAATTCCATAGAGTCCTCTCTTCTCTTACTGTTTCTAATACCTCTTCATTTCTACCCACGTTATCCTCATCATTCGCCTGTAACACCACATTTCGATGGCTTGTAACCTTTTCTTTTCCGCCGCGCCCACTGTCCATGTTTCGCACCCATACAACGCCGTGCTCCAAACATACACCTTTAACGACCTTTTTCGAATTTCTAAATTAACCGTTCGCGAGCATAGAAGTGACTTCTTTTTATTAAAGGCGACACGACCCTGCGCTATCCTCTGCTTTATATCCCTACTACTCCTTCCATCCTCACTTATCTGNCGCGATCCGCGTCTGGCAGTTTCGACAGAATACAGACCACTTCGAATTATTTTGTCCTACCAACCTTTCTCTTTCTGCTTCTGATTTGTCTCCAACTAGCCCTTCATGTCTGAATGGTGTCCTACCTTCATATGTCTCTAACTAGTCTTTAATGTCTTATTGGCTTCCATAACATCCCCTTATCTCTTACTCTTTCTATCACCACCTCATTTCTAACTATTCCTAAGCACGGTATTTTTAACATTTTACTATAATACCCCATTGGTCACATTTAACACCAACACAGAGCCGTACCCAATCTTTCACCTTAAATAATCCTTTTTGGATCTCCGAAATAACCTCTCATGTTAAAATAATAAAGAATAAAACAATAACTATAAATCGTACAATATTTAAGTCAAAATTTCTCATAAGAATTCAGAAATTAAATTGTTTTGGTTAACTTTTACTTCTAAAAATTATATCATTAAAAATCCTGGAACTTTTCAGAATATATCTTCTACTGTGTATTGTTAAGAAATTTATAATATTTAAAAATTGACAAATCTGTATTGCAATAGTCATCATCATAGAATCATCAGTCCTATGACTGGTTGGACACGTACCTCCACTCTTTCCTATCTTGAGCTACACTTCGCATTACCTAAAACTAGAATATTCCACATCCTTTACTCTTTGCGAACAGTTATCTAATCAGGTCTACCTCTACCCCTCCTAACTCCTGTTTCTGACTCTAACATGTCTCTGACTAGACCTTCATGCCTGAGAAGGTGTCCTACTAACCTATCTCGCGTATTTTTTACTGACTTCCATAGAGTCCTCTGTTCGCCTATTCTTTCTAACTTTTTCTACCCACGTTATCCTCATCATCCGCCTATAACACCACATTTCGAAGGTTTCTAACCTTTTCTTTTCCGCCGCGCCCACTGTCCATGTTTCGCACCCGTACAACGCCGTGCTCCAGATCTAAAATGAGAGGTTATCTATTTTTTGTCGTTTTACTTATCGTCGCTATCGGCACTGAAATTGCCCTTGGGGACTGCCTTTCTGGAAGATATGGAGGCGCGTGTGCCGTGTGGGACAACGACACTTGCCGCAGAGTTTGTAGTGAAGAGGTACGCAGAAGTGGCTATTGCAGCCCAAGTCTTAAATGTTGGTGTGAGGGATGTTAAGATGCATTAACGACGAAAAAAATCTTAACATTTTATCTAGCTTTAAGCAGATTGGTTCATATAAATTGTGAATTATTCAATGAAATATTTTATCTATCTAAAATTTGTACCTAATATTGTTACAACTTATAACAAAAAATAGTTGGGAAAATAATATAAAACGTATTTATTGTTGCATGGCATATTTGAATTATTGATTAGACAGGAAAACATTTAGAACTTTAACTATTCTCTATACTAAAATTATGTACAAAAAGATCATCATAAGGTTGCAGTCCTAAAACTGGTTGGACACGTGCTTCCAATCTTTCCTATTCTGAGCTAATTTTCGCATTTCCCTAAAACTAGAACAACCCACATCCTTAACTATACTAATATGTCTCTGATTAGACCTCCATACCTGAGAAGGTGTCTACTAATCTATAACTAAACACAAGCTTTTTTGAACTTCTAAATTAACCGTTCGCGAGTATAGAAATGAGTTCTTTTTATTGAAGGTGACTCGACCCTGCACTATCCTCTACTTTGTATCCCTACTACTCCTTCCTTCCTGACTTATCCAACTTCTTAGATACCTAAAATCAGCCATTTCTTCTAATTTTTCGTCTCCTATCCTTATATTTACTCTTTCCCTACTTTTTCTTCCCTTGCATACCACTATTTTTGTTTTAATGCTATCTCTTACTCCTCCTTGCTAGATGTTGATACTGCTATATCATCTGCAAATCTAAGCATACTAATCTTTTGCCCCTATATACAGTTGTACTGTCTTTAATGATGTTGATCGCATCTTCGATATATAGTTTAAAAAGTAACGGTGCCAGTGTGCGTCCCTGTCTGACCCCCTTCCTAATAATTTCTCTACGTTGCAGCCCTAACTGGCCCCAGTATAACTGCCTGTTGCTCTTTATACAAACTAAGTATCACCCTTCCATCTTTGTAACTCATCCCTACATTTTTAAGTGTATTTAACATTGTTAAAATCTACAAATCCTATGTACGCACTCTTTCCCTTTTCTATCGTTTTCTCTATTGTTACCCGTAAAGCTAGAATGACCTCCCGCTTTGCTCTATTTCGTCTAAACCCATATCGATCGTCCCCTAATAGTTCTTCCGCCCTTTTTTCTATCCTCCTCTGTACAATTCTAGTTAAGATTTTTAACGCATAGGAAGTTCTAAATGTTTCTCACATATCCGCGCCTCTCTTTTTAGGTACGGTTACTACTACGTTCCGTTTATATTCCTCTGGGACTTCCCCGTCTCATAAATGTGACTAACTAGCTTAAACATGCGATCTCTAATCTCTTGTCCTACATATTTTAGAATTTGCCCCTGTATCCCATCTACACCAGGCGCCTTATTACCCTTTAAGAAATTAAATTTGTTTAATGTGAAACACTTCAAAAAGCAATTGCAAAGTATCGAATGCGTGCAATAGCGCGCACATCGATTTACTAGTGTATTTAAATAGTGTATTATTAATGTATTCTGGAAAGCACGAGTTGTGGCATGGACGAGTCGGAAACATGTTAAAGATAATGTTTTGTTTTTTTTTTTATCCGATGTATGTTGTTAACAACAAAAACACAAAGCGTTTGTGTAATACGAAAGCCTTGGTAGATTGTCTTTGCTTCAGTATAAGCAAACGTTCGAAGCTCTCGTCATTCGTAAATAAACAACACTGTGGTTCACTGCTGTATACAACTGTGTTAAGTGCAACAACAAAATTGATTAAATATTGAAATTGTACGACGCCCCTCTCCCAATCGTAAAAAATGAAGGGTTATTTGATTTTTGCCGTTTTACTCATCGTCGCCATCGGCACTGAAAATGCACTTGGTGATTGTGTTTCTGAGATATGTAGGACCATGCAACGTATGGGACAACGACACCTGCCGCAAGGTATGCCGGGAAGAAGGACATTCTAGCGGCCATTGCAACGATACTCTCAAATGTTCGTGTGAGGGCTGTTAGGGTTTCTATTAAAGCAAAAGAGAAAGTATATTTGCTGTCCTGAATCACTTAATAAATTTACAAAATATAATTATTTTAATCAATAAAATGTTGTTTTATTATGTTTAATATGACACGGCTAAAAATTAAGGTTATGATTACTTATCATATAATTAAATGTTTAACTTTATAAAGTGTCTTCTACTNTTACATACTTAAAAACCAATTCGCTCCAAGAATTTTTAACATTCTTTTTTTGTTTTATTAATGATTTATAATGCGAAAGGTTTTCTTGCGTAAAACTGCTTTAAACCGTACAAGTTTCATTCGTTTTCAGCGAAGCCATCAAGGCCACACGTGACATTTGTTAATTACTCAAACAAATTATCGATTGCCTGTAAATTTACGAAAATGCACACACAATGAGACAATCGAGATTGCCAAGAAACCATTTCGTTTGTAATATATTGTGCAAGCACATCCCGATGTTTCTGTTTGCTTCTCCTCCTCTAAAACCATGCATACTTACATGTCATTGTCGGGTACGCGTTACAGAAAACGATATTACAAAACGCTATCGCAAAGGACATATTCAATTTTTGCGCAATGTCCAAAATAATCGACTAACACTCGACGTTGCATAGTTTTGGAACCGACGATTTCTTAACCGATACTGACATTCCTATTTATTGTACTAAGAAATTATTTTTAATAAGTAGAATAAACAGCGTCGAGCATAATATTGAAGATGGTGAATGCTCCCTGACCATGAGTTACTACTAGGGTTGCCACCTTTTCAGGCTTTACATAAAGTATTTCTCGACTAAAAGGTTTAAAAAAAAGCACTCGGCATAAAAATAAAGTATTTAATTTTTTGTTTTTAAAAACATATTTTTTGTTACACCTAGCAGCCAGTAACAAATTGCTGTCGCTCTTAAATATAATAATAGTCTTTAAACATAGCAAACAAAGATTTCAGTAAACTGAGGGTCCATTTCTAATTAGTTTTAATGAAACTTTATTCCTGTCGTCCCGCTACTTTGCGTTCATAACAGGGAATACTCTTTCTGTAAATGCTGAAGTGGCCGGAACGGATGGCAAAAGTGATACTACTTTGAATAGATTTGGGAAATCAGGTTGTTCCGTAAATATGGCTTGCCGTTTTTCTGTGCAATATTATTGATGTAAAAATACTCTGAATTTCGACTAATCCCTTACAAAATTACGATGTTTATCCCCTTAATAAATGACCGAATTCTTTTCTGTTTACCGATTGTATTCGCGAATAATAAAATTTTTAAGCGCGAATACAAGAACTGGGTTGCAATTTTTCACCAGCGAATAAGGAAACCGTGAATAAGGAACTTTTACTGTAATCTAAAGCATGTTCCCTGACGATGTATCGTGAAACCGTTGATAAAACAACAGCAACCTTGTACTTGATTAAAATAACAAAATAACATCTAACAAGTAAGCTGATAAGAGTTTTATGTCTAACGATAAGACCCGTGACACCTTATTGTGTGCATGCTGAACTCAAAAACTTTATTGTACGTATGTATTTAAAATGCACTTTTCTACTAATTATAGGATTAAAACCAGGTGTAGTGCCCGACAATTGAATTCTAATATCCCGAACGACATCCAGTCAAATTCTGAATTTGTCTTTATTGTAGACGTAAACTGAAAAGCTCGTTTGTAACCTACATGTCGATACAAATCGAAACAGGAACCGTGGTAATCTTCTTTACGACTACAGGGTATTCATCTTTAATCGTAAAAGTCAGTAAAATTTGAATCATTCGATTTTAGAGAGCGTCAATTCATAATATCGGTCGAATTCTCAGAAACCAAAAATTTGTTTTTTTTTTTAGAGAAGATATTTTGTCCTTCACTGTAAACTTAGCTCTGATTATTGACTTTAAGAACCTGCTGATTACGTTGAGTTTATCTAATATATCGATCAAATAAGCCATTTTCATTATCCATTTCTCATCATGCAATATACATAGTTCGACATGACTTACAGACGTAAAAATTGGTTGTCCAATTATTGCTCCATCTTCCGTGCGTAGAAGGGGTGATTTATGTTGACTTCTCAAATCTTCGTATACTTTTTTAAAAAGCCTTGGCTGCAATACATCTGTTACTAACGATATTCAATAGTTACATTTGAAAATTACGGTAAATATCTAAAGAAATAAATAAGTCACACCGCTTTGTAAACGTGCAAGAAAATAGTAATAAACCAATGAACAATTGTGTCCAATTTATTGTGTCAACGTAAAACCGAATGTCTAAATGTCTCTTAGTTTAGTAAAATAGTGATGATTTAATGCATTTTACAAAATATTAAATCTTAGTCAATTTACCCCTGGCCCGGGGTAGGTAGATCATATGCCCGGGGTAGGTAGATCATATGCCCGGGGTAAGTTGACTCATGTACCAATAAGAGTCAAATCATGAGAAGGAGCAAATAATTAAACATTTTTTTAATATAATTGAGCCTTTTGTTAAAAAATAAACAAATTAAATCAGCTATTCAAGCATTTCTTACAATGTCTTTAACAAAATTATCGTAAACAGTGATCAAGTTAGTGAAGAATAAATTAACGTTGCTTTTGTTAAATGATGTAGCTCTCAATAGGCTTATTGCTTGAGGTAATTGGATTGATAGAGAAGGATGACGTTTAAGGAAAGAGCCCAACCAATCTTCACCAGCTAACAATTTTTCTCTCCAAGAATTTGGCATAACTTTGTTATATTTTTTTTTGAGAACTCATGCTAATTTTCGAGTCTCATATGGCGTCAAGCCAAATAAATATCTGCTGCCTTCCTTCAATAACTGACTAAAGCTTCCTCTTCTAGATTAGTAAAAATTTGTATATTTTTTACACATCCGACTGTGTCCAGGGTTAATTCTGCTCTCGTGAATTTCAGATTCTGTTCTAATTTTTCTTTTAATTTGGCCACGTAACGATTTAAAAGTCCAATAAAAAGTTAATTTACGTGTTGTTTTCAACTACATATTTCATTGGGGTTGGTTGAATAATTATTCAACCAGCCCCGAAAAAAATTGGTCTACCAACCCCAGACGCCATTTTTAATTTTGATCGCATGGCTAGCCTAAACACTGCCGTTGACTTGAAAAATAAGATATGAAATATGATAAATGTGCCCTCATTAAATGCTAGGACTAAT